GCCAAATGTCCATAAATTCAACTTATATTCATGTATAGTACATATTTGTTAACATTTTTGGTATATACCAAATACCAATATCTACCAACCAAATTTGTTGGTAGCCAAATCAATTGGTACCAAGTATACTTGGTACGATACCGGTAGCTAAAATCTTATACCAACTATCGTTGGTATGGTACACGGTTTGGAGAAAAAAAACTCGGTACCGTACCAATTCTACCCCTAGTTTTTTGGGGTATTTTAAGGGGGATTCTTAGCAGCAACCTCCGACCTTTTTAGCCAAATGGGACGTCTCTGCCTTGTTTTCCATACGTTTCATTTCGTTGTCCGGTTCGATTGGACAATCGTAGAAAATAGTGGTTGTAGGGCCTTCTAAGGTACATTCAGAGCTTGTAACATTGGGAACGTGAGGATCAACAAGATCATTCAAGCTTCAACTTCTTGTTTCATGACTAGAACGTTTCCGTTTGGGAGGAGACATTTGGATGAGTTGGTTATCATGAGCACTTTTAGAGTGCCTCTTTGAGATGAACCATGTTGAGGAAGCTCTTGTAGACACTATAAGAGGTTTACAAAGATCAGAATCCAGTTTCACACCATTGAAGCGAAGGTTGGGGGAATAGATTTAGAGCTCTCCGACTGAGAAACCTCTAAAGCGGAATCCATGCTGGACCCTGAACAAGTTGGGGAGTCTGGGATCATCACCTCCTCTGTAACTAGGGCATGGTTCACGCTGCGATTTCGATGAAGATGATCGAGAATGGTTATATTATTTCCTTCAAATATTTCCACATGTTTCTTATCCAAATGAATCCAATGGGGAATCATGCCCGCCATACCCTACACTGCTTCATCAGTATCTGCCCACCAAACAAAGTTGCTTGCTAACCTCTTCATTGTCAGCATTTCATCAGGCGAGAGTTTGGGGACGGGGTCGGCAACCCTGTCAGCAGTTGCACCATACGCCATAAGGTCGGAAAAGGCAGATGCATGAACGAAGAAGAACTTTTCCTTCCGATACTTGGTAGAAGTGGGAAGGCCATCACATAGCTCCACCAAACCATTGTGAAGGGAGAAGGGAACCCAATATTCATTAGATATAGGAAGGTAGAAGTAGCTAAACAGGGTAATAGACGGCGACACATCTAGGGCAACGCACAATAGGGTAAAGCAAAGAACCTTGAGAAAACCATTGGGGGTTATTTAGGGGTGTGCAGACCATATTAATCCATAAAGGTTCCGAAGAAATCGAAGGCAGGAGATGCAATACAGACTTGAAGAATACTCGATAATCCCCCACGAAGCCTTCAGGAGCGTCAGTGATGACATCGTTGGCCTCTGGAAAGCGAGGGTGGAATTTGGGATCGATATGGTACTTCCGAACAAGCATACCCATGGTTCGAACGGTTAGTTTGGATTTCACCGATCCTATGTGAGAAATCCCAGTGCTTGCCATGTTTTTAAGAGAGGGAGAAAACGAGAGGAAAGTTTGACAGGAGAAGAAAAGAAAACTGACTATAACTGAAAGAGTGAATGGTGAAACAGATGGTTTAAAACCGAATATTTATATCAAGCCTATAGCATATGAAGATTAACAAGCATACAAAGTGGTTGGTAGATATTGTACCCCTATCCAAGTAATGGTAGATGAAGAGACAATTATAGGGATCATCATTAGGACTAGAATAACCGTCAGCACGTCACGTTAGAGTTAATTCAAGGGTTTCATGTCCATATCCGACCATAACAGCTATAATATCGCTCTTACAAAGTTTGCATCCCTACTCCATCGAATACGTAGAGATACAAACCGGGGGAGGGGGGTCACTTAATGGGGGTATAATTCGGGAATACCTTTATCCTTTCCTAAACATGTCGAACCGACATGTTCGAAGATGTCTGAATCATTAAACACTAAACTGGTATAACGACTTTTAAGGAAAAGAAAGAACCGAGGGAAGGTACAAAGTGACGTCAAAACAATAATGGTATTATCTCAAAACAATGAGGATACAACCTATATGAGGATACGTGGTCAAGAGATCATGGTACAACCACACGACAACCATATAATGGTATGTATAGTACCAATAGTCGTATCTTCGGGCGTTATACCATAAATGCGATAAGATGGCATGTCAGGATCGATATTGGAAGAGCTTGCCACTTCCTATACCACTATAAATAGACGTATCGATACATCAAGAAAGTAAGTACCATAATCTACTTCTTACTGTCGTGTATAATCCATCGAATATATAGCCTCTCGCTAACTTAACAGTCGGAGAATCGTCTAATATCCCCTATTGGTCGGTTACTACCGGTTTGTTTGTAGTATTCATGTCAATCTTATTCCTTGTGGAGATCGGATCCTTACATGGAAGATAAGAAGACGGGCCTAATGGCACATCAGACGTCAAACATATACTCATATAATTCATCAGGTAAGGTGATTCTTCCAGATGATTGTTGAACTAGGGTATCTGAGGATTGGTTGGGTTGGGTAGTTGGTATTAGGTCAGATTACACATATATTACCTGACAAGTAACGTTGTTTTGTAGGAATAATATTATTTATTATCATTAAATTATTATGGGCTTGAAAACCCTATGCATCTTACCAGGTTTCCCAAACCAAACGCATTCATTTTTATGCATTACAGGTAGTGTAACCAAGACTTCTATAGTCTAGTTAGGATGCTGAGTGGAATGAAGAGATGTGCTTATAATAAGTAGTTTTAGCACCTATTATATTTACGTTGTAAAGTATGTTTGGATATGAAAAATGACATCCTAAAAGTTTTAATAAAATGAAATAACTTTTGTTATCTCAAAAATGTTTTATTTAACTGGAAATTTCCGCATCTCAATTTATTAAAAGTTTAAAGTAAATATTTTAATTGGTTCTGAAGTTGAGTCAAGACACCCCATATTAAAGTTAACATTTTTGCTTGAAAGTTGAGATTGAATAAGCTTCCCGCCATGGTTAATTTGGAGATGAGAGGGCTTGCTATCCAATCTCTTTTGTGCCCCCTATGTGATGGTGGTGTGGAATTCGTTATTCACATTTTCATTGCCTGTGACATAGTTTCTGGTCTTACGCCTTACAATACTAGATGGTGGAATTTTCTACTACGTCTTTTTCCTCTTTTGAAGATTGCCATTATTGGTTCTCTATGCATTGGTTATATAATTATCTTAAAGGGTGTTTGGATGTGGTGTTTTTGACGATGTGGTGGGTTATTTAGATTATATAAACAACTTCTTGTTTTTTGATAAAAAGTAGAGATTGACGGATCTTTTCGACAAGACTATTACAAAGTCGTTTTTTTGGGATAATTATAAGAAGAAGGGATTCCATAAATTGGATTGGTTGGTTCCAAGATCTAAACATTGTTATTTTCTTAATGTTCTGGTATTGATTCTTTGTTTTCCCAACTAGTTTCTTACTAGCCTGGTGTTTTTATAATACAATTACCCTTAAAAAAAGATATATAGAGAATATAGAGGTATTTGGTGTTTGTGGTGTGGTTCAAAATATAAGTGATGTTTATTTATAATGGAGAAAAATAAAAGAAATTAATTAATCAAATTCCTAAAGGTTAGTAATGGTAACAAAAGGAAGAAATGATGTTGCAAAATCGACCACGCGGGAGGGGTCATTGCACACTAGATAAGTAGATGACACAGTTTTCATCCTACAACGACAATGAGATCTTACATCACAATGGTGTACATTGGATGATGTATACCTACCAGCCTTAAGTTGGAGTTAGAACTTAAAATATGTTAGAAATTTAGGGGTTTCAGAGTGTTTGAAAATCCGAGAATCGTGAGATCACTTTCAAATTGAAGGATTTTAGTGGTACTCCCAAAAATTCAATTGGATAAGACTCATAAGAGATGCAAGAACACACAAGAAAATTTATTATGATTTTCTATATATTAGAAATAATGACCAAAAAACAAGATTCAACTTCCATGTATGAAAACCACCAAAACTGTCCCAAGACAGTTTTAACAACCAACACCAAACTGTCTCTAAAACTGTTATAGAATCGACTTCTTAAAAAGGGTTAAAATCGGGTTAATTTGAGAAAAATCGAATTTCTGATGCATTTTTAACAAAACAACGTAACCCAAATAAAAAATCTCAACTAGAGGCTCTGCCCCTTGGACCCGTTACCAGGGGTGGTGCCCTCAGATTCCCGTTTGTTCAGGCTTCACCCTTAAATGACAGTTTATTTTGAATCTTGAACATACTCAAACAAATATGCACTCCGCACCGCCAATACCTGTGTAATGTTCATCAATATTACATTTGATAACAAATTAATCTATTATACTTAAATAACTAGATTATAACCCGTGTGAACATATTAAAAAATATAAAAACATTTATATATATTGCATAATAATTATAAAAGAAAGTTTATGATTGTTGTTTATTATTGAAATGTGAAGAAGAAACATTGAAATTGATAAATATCTATAAACGTTGTACGACCTCTTTGTAGACAACGTTTTTTGTTAACGATCTTCCTCATCACATATGAGTACCTTCAAACATTTTTTGCTTGTTACACGAGAAACAACTACATATAATTCACCATAGGTGAAGACAGGTCTACGCAAGTATAATCAAACATTTGATAATTATTGTTATTGACTTTTGTTAATGGTCATAGCGAAACAAACTGCTATTGGTAATTGCCTATGTTGAAAACGTAATGAAATTTTTTTATCGAATGGGGTCAACTTCATGCGAGGTATATATATAGTCTCGTTGAAAAATCTACCATATATGATTCGTGCTTCAATAACGTGTCTTCCAAGTTAAAGATAATATTGAATATATTATACGATATAATTCCATAATTTAAGCCTAACAAAAAGTTGATAAATGAAATATTGAATATATTATATGATATAATTCCACGACAAAATTGATGATAAGAACTTTAACTTGCAAAGAATTGTAAATGTCTTCTGAGTGAATTAACATGTAATTTGGATGACAATTCAATGAGAGATCTATCCCCATGACAATTCAATGAAAGGTCTATCCCCATACGTGGTTGATTAAAAGGACTTCAAAAGTTGTATTTTAGATTGTAATAACAATCGACAAATAGAGATATCGACACAGAGAAGATTATGGAGAAGAACATATATCTAAACATGTTTATCTGATGTTATCGTTTCTTCAAAGCAGATGATCGGGTTTAGAAACAATAAATGTAAACGATTTAGAAATTACAAAAGATTTGCTATTTGTATAAATGTATATACCAACAAATATCATTAATATGGTAAACTGGAGATAAATATATTATTTAAAAAATAATATATCAACATTAAAATATTAATATTTTTTGGATATTATGTGATTTCATTTCAAAAAATTGTGTGCCGATTTATTAGCATTTAGTTTTCATGGATTATGTTATTGTGATTAAAAATTTCTATATGCATATTATACTTTACCAAAAAAAAAAAAATCCACGATGGTTCATGGCAAGATATTTGCATTTTAATATGCTATTAGATTAGATAAGGGTATATACCGAAAAGTGAAGAAAAATATTGAAGAATATTCAAATAGTCAATTTAAAAATCACTCTTTATATGCTAATAGATACATCCAATTGTTTTTTGTTCAAAGTTTATCCTTGTTGCTGCTTCCCCATGATAATTAAAGCTATATGTTTTCTCAATTACTCAGTCCATTCTACCATCAAGGGAATGATCAAAAAGTGAGAGTGGTAGATAATTTCAAAACAGACTTTCGATAAGTATCAGATTCTAAGAGGTCCTGCGATTTAAAAAGATAGAGGTAATATCACTAGTTAGTTAAAATTTTCAATTTTAATGACTTTAAATAATAAAAATATTAAAAAAAAATAGATTTGGATAAATATGATATTTAAAAGATTAAAAATGTTAAATATGATATTCTAAAAATAGATCGGACAAATATATGATATTTTAACGTTTAATGACGTTGATTACAAATGTTAATATTAAATACATTTGTTTGGTATAATTGACAAATATATGATAAGTGAAGTATTTTAATGATTTAAATTGATTTTTTTTGGCTCTAATGCAAGAAATATGAATGTTGTTCCAATGGAGATGTAAGTATAGTTTTTGTAGGAAATTAGAGACCACAACACAATCTTTACATAGACAAACAAAAATAAAAACAAAACCATATGACATATAATGAGGGCAAACACCATTCAGGTTTTAAATTCATAACATAAGTTGATGGGAAAATATATCAAAAGATATAACAGTTAAAATTCATAACACTTGTCTCAAATAACACGACTATTATCGTGTTATAATTAAACGAAAACAAACATAGTCTTTAAATGAAAACAACTTACTTGTCAAAGAAATCCATAAGCAAATAATAAAAACTCAAAGAAAAACCGTCAATGATAAATG